ATATATATATATATATATTATTATACATTTATATATCTTCCATATATATATATATATATATATATATATTGAATTATACATTTATATATCTTTCATATATATATATATATATATATATACTTGAATTATACATTTATATATCTTCCATATATATATATATATATATATATTTATATATATATATATATATATATATATACTTGAATTATACATTTATATATCTTCCATATATATATATATATATATACTTGAATTATACATTTATATATCTTCCATATATATATATATATATATATATATATATGAATTATATTTATATATATATATATATATATATATACTTGAATTATACATTTATATATCTTCCATATATATATATATATATACTTGAATTATACATTTATATATCTTCCATATATATATATATATATATACTTGAATTATACATTTATATATCTTCCTTTATATATATATATATATATATACTTGAATTATACATTTATATATCTTCCACTGAATGACAGGGTTTCAGAATTTGGCAACGGAGGAGGTTGTTGTTCTCCAAACTGAGAACTTTTCAGCTCCCCCACTTTTAAACTGCAATCCCATACACGACTATCACTGCCTCTTTTTTTTTTTTATTCCTCTTTTTATTGGCATCTACAATTTAATCATCAACATTAGCATCTCTCAACCGTCTTCATTGCAGACACTCACATTACTACACCACAACCATGTCTGTCATTATCATCTTCCTATGTTGATACCAATGCCTCTATCACACTTTTTCTTTCATCACCAAGACAACTACAAAGACTAAGAAGTAAAGACAGCAAATTTTCAAAACCATTGAGACCAACATAAGTACACATGCAGACAAACGCAGTCTCGTACACATACATAAAAAGACAGCCGTGCACTCTGACTATGACCCACTTATTTTTTCATTACTTTTTATTCAATTTGCTAGCAGTTAGTTATATCTAACTAACACATAAAGGTGATGCATTGTCAGCAAAATGCTGAGTAGGAAAGGATTATCCAATTGCAGAAATATCTTTTGCTTGAATTAATCTGATTTCTTATTTTATTGTGAATTTAAAGTTTTCAACTCAAAAAAAAATAAAATCAGATTTTTATTTATATTTGTATCATTTCACCCCAAATAGGGCAATAAAGTCACTAAGTCACAAAGGGTTACTGAGTGTGCGATCATATAAAAAGAAAAACATTATGAGGACAATAAAAGAACAGACATTATTTTCTGTTCTCTTAATTTCTGACTTCATTTACAAAGCCAGAAAAGAGTTCTCACACCTCACTTTTTATTTTACAATTGAATTGGCTAAATGTAACTGTAAGTACTTTGCTAACTGTTTCTTTTTCATGAGACCTTACTGCCAATCTAGTACTGCACTTAAATTCATAAAATCTAGATTCCATAGATAAAAGCTCACCAGAACAATTACCATGGAAATATAATATAGTTTCCCTGTACCTTTTCTATAAATGACAGTGGGAAAGTGATTGAAGGTGAGATGCCAGGTCAGAACCAATAACATTGCAGATTCTTAAATTTGCCTTCAACAATCTTAGATTGTTATGAAAGCATCATTGAAAAGAGAAAAGTTTTCGAGGAAATCACTTTGGAATAGATAGCTGAATATGGTAACTTACAGAATACATGAAACATCCCAGTCCTAAAATTAAAAGCAATTATTATAATAAAACAGTCATGAGTACCTAACAGTAGAAAACTAGTCAATAAGCAATCTTTGAATTCACTAATATCATTATAGTTTTTAATTTTCATAGGATCCCTTGGCTTGCTCAAGAAAAGGCTCTATAAAGGCAGCAATTGTTTAAACTATTTGATATCTCATTGAAATCTACAATGGACATTTCTAAAATGACAAAAGTAGTTCATTAATTGTTTTTAAATTTAAAAATAATTAGAAATAACCTCAGTCTACCTTGGACATTAGCTAATGATCTTTTGCTTGTTTTTATCAGTGTTATTAAATGAAGTACTGTCAACTCATAAATTATGAAGTCGCCTCTGACATGATTTGAAGTCAAATCTTGTATCCTTCAGTGACTTTTTGACATATTGATATCAATTTGAAAATTCATCAAATATTATTTCTTTATTTATGACCTGTGTTTGAAGAATATAAAAACAAATTGAATGCCGCAATAAAAAGCAACATGATTGACTGTTTGATTAATTTTTTTTTTTCTGGTTTATCAACCATTTGCAGTTTGTTTTACAGGCAAAAAATGATTTTAAATTGTAAAAATTATTTTGAGATAATAATGATTTTTGCTGAAACAAGTTCTACTAATTAACCCAAAGCTAAGGGAGTAAGAGGTGAATTCATACCTTTCCCAAGGTTATTTGTGCATAAGTGAATAAATATAATGAACCTGACTGGAAATTTGATAATGGCCTGGAATTGGAAACCAGAAAGGCATTATCCATCACACCACTCACACAACTAGCACCTGGCATACAAAAGTGGTCACCCATCTAGGTACTGACCAGACTCAATGTTGCTTAACATCAGTGATCGTATGAGAACCAGTGTTTTAACCAGATTTGATGTTGCTTAACTTTGGTGATCATAAGAGAACCGGCATAAAAAGTAACAATAAAAGGAAAAATTAAAAAGGAAACTTAAGACTATTACTAATTGATATGAGTGGGATCCTCACTGAGTGTCCCATACTTTTGCCCTTGGTCCACATCTAAGGTTTGCTTAGTAAATCACTATTACAACTTGGTGTAAAAGCAAGAGAAATACGATGAAAGAAAAACTATTCAAAACAGAATGAAGCATGACCAATTAGTATTCAAAGTAATTTGGACAACTTACGACTATTATTTTCATTTGTTTTTACGCCAAATAATAAGAAATGCTATCATTGACAATGGGAGGCATGGTGGAGTAATGGATAGTGGCTTGGATTGAGGAATCGGAGAGCTGAGTTCAAATTCCAGTTGAATCCATTACATTCACTTATGTTCTAATACCCTTGGGAAAGGTATGAATCCTCCTCTTCTCCCCCCAGCTATGGGTAAATAGCAGGACAGACCGAGTTCTATAGCCTTGGATGGCAAGTGGTCTGCTGCAGGAAAAAAATCTGCCTCCTCATCTCAGAAATAAAACCAACTTTAGATCTTTACAAAAACAGTGATTTGTTTTATAAAATATGAAAAAGTGTAATAAATATATTCTTAAACATTTACCAACAACACATGGTCAAAAGCAATTTCATATGTTCAATAATAGCATGACAATTATACCTTTTTCATGTCTGTTTATATTATAAACTAGCTTAAAAGCTGTCTTATCAGGTGGCATTTAAGCTAGCTCCTGCAGAGGGCTCTTAATTGGGTCTTCATTACAATAGGTAGAGCAGAGTAGATACGATATGCAACAATAAACTACAGAAGAACTCAAAATTGATTGCTACATTTAAGTATTGCATTAATATTTAAGCTTACCTTTTATAAGTTCAACAATAAATTAAGTGGCAGCAGAAGAATTAAAGACAACTTGGTGTATGTAGGTCCTTACTTTCCAGATAAACAATTATTTTTATTTCATGGGTGACTTTCATTGGAAATGAATAAGCAAAATTAATTGTGAAATCCAAGTTATAAAAATTGTTATCATACAAAAAATTTGTTGCAAAAAAAATCACATAAAAAAAATAGCTGAAAACAATCACAGTAATGAAAATTTGGGAATCCAAAATTTCAGGATTGTGGGTTTGGATTTGGCCTGGAATGTTTTTAATTTGTTCACAGAGTTGGCCTGATTCCAAAATGGTATGATATGTTGGGGTAAGGCCTCTAGGAGTAAAGTTGAAAAAGTGTGACATAGATATAATAACTTATTTGGTCATGTGAGATCTTATAATACAAAAACAGATTTTAAGTTACATCATAAATGTTTATATAGTCATTAATATTTATTTCTTTTTTAATACAGATATGTAAAGGCAGTCATAGGTCATATGAAAGATATAATCTCAAAAAAAGTTATTACAGAGTTATTTAGTGATGGGAATATAAAATTGTCACTGTTTTCAACATGGTTTTTGTAAATAAGTTGATAAGAGAACAAAGAACAAGGTAAGAAAACAGGCTATAATTATGTCACAAAAAGATATTTGAGGAAAAAATGAATGTAAGTACTAAGCAAAAAAATTGAACAAACAAGAAGAAATCATTTGAAGAAGCTGGTATTGCAAATGTAACCGGAGGAAAAAAACAGTAGAATATTAAGAACATTGGCTAAAGGCATGAGAGCAAGCAAACTTTAGTTTTCTTGTACTTTTAAGTAAACATCACAAGAATTAATGTGTAAGCTGAATGAAAAAAAAAATGCTAATGTTGAGAAATTATTTTTTTACTGATGAATAAAAAGCTATATTGGATGGATGTTGTTAAACCAGAGAATTTAATTAAACTTTAATTAAATTCTCTGGTTTAATACCCACCACATTTATTTATTTGAACCATCATTTCATTGTGTGTTATGTCTCTGATGGTAGCCATTATTAGTTTTTCATTGTCTTCTCCAAGAATAGCACTCTTGAGCACTCTTAAGGCAACTTAATATCACCAGAGCTGATTACATCATAGAATTTGATCATGTTCACTGAGCTGCTGAACCATATTATATTTTGTGATCTAATATATTTTTCAGGATTTCCATATGCCATCAAAGAGGCTTGATTAGTATCCACCTTGAGCAGAGAGTTTTTTTGTACAATATCTTCATTTCTTCCTTTCTCTTTAATTTATCAGGTTTCATTTCCAGCACTGTTGGGGCTCATTTTTTTTTTCACATCTGTAATTGCTGTCATTTTCTCCCCTTTATAATTTAACCCACTTTTTACCACCATTTTTAATTCCTTCCTTTTAATTTTAGGTATTCTCATCTTTACACAATCTACAAACTTCTTCCATTTGTTAACCACTGATACATATGCTCTTCTCTTTGATTCTAATTATATATGTGTTTTTATATATATATATATATATATATATATATATATATATATATATATATAAAGGGAAGAGGTTATAGTAGTTCCAACAAGAGAAAAGTGTGTATAATAAAAAGAGAGAAACCGCAAATGTCTTTGATTTTAATGTGGATTGTTTTTTAAAAAATATATTATGATTTATTTTCCATAATTTTGCTACATCAGTTTCTGTTCTCGCAACCTTTATCAGGCAAAGAGTGGATATTTCCACATATTATTAAAAAAAACATAAGAAAAAGTAATTCCTTTTATGTTAAATATTCTCAATATTAGACATTCTCTTTTTTGTGTGTTAGTAATCCAAATGTCTTTCTTGAATTGGCAGTGAAAGAATTGTGTGAAGGGTAATAAAACAATTAAGACTCGTTCGAGAAAGGGTGAAAAAGAGGTCTATATTTTTATCTTTTAGATCTATTTCCATTGTTTTTGCCAATATGTGTATACATATCTGTGCTCCACATATACCTGCATGTGAGTGTATGTGCATGGATGCGAGTGGTTTGACCACTGTATTTGGCCATTATGTGTGCTTTTGCGTGTGGGGTTACAATCTATTTAGTGCTGGTTTAAATTTATGCAAACCCTACACAACATAGGAAGTGTGTTTATGTGTGTATATATGCGTATACTAATTCCTTATAATAAGACACTATATATATATATATATATATATATATATATATAGGGAATATATGTATGCGTACGCATGCTGACAAAAACACAATTAAGATTGGTCCAAGAAAGGGTGAGAAAGATATCTATATTCTTATCTTTTAATGACCCCTGTGTGTTCTTAGATCTATTTCCATTTTTTTTGTTTTACTACCCTTCATGCAGAATTCTTTCACTGCCAGTTCAAGAAAGACATTAGACATTCACTTTTTTGTGTGTTAGTGATCCAATATCGAGAATATTTAACATCGAAAAACATAAGAAAAATTAATTCATTTTAATAGTATATGTCTGATGAAGGTTGCAAGATCAGAATCGTGTGTAGCAAAATTATGGAAAATAAAGAATAATATCTTTGCAAACATATTTTTAAAAAAAAAAAAATCCACATTACAAACAGTTTCTCTCTTCTTTTTTATTATATATATGTGTGTGTGTGTGTGTATATGTTTTTTTCTTGGACAAACTGAAGATTTTTTTTCTTGCTTATTCTTTGCTTATTTTTCCTTTTCCACTTTTTCATCTACATTTCCTTTCAGTACTTTTTTCCTGTGTCATCTTTTTTTTCCTTCTCCACCATGTTATTTTTTTCTAGCATTCATTTCTCTTTTTTATCTTGTAGAAGAAAAAGAAGAAAATTCTAAAAGACAATTCTTTTCTTCATTTTCTTTTTCATTCCATTTTGCCCTCATTTTCTTCCCCTCCATTGTTTTATCTTCTTTTTCTCCTCCTCAAATTCCATCATCATCATGTAATAATAATGATAGCAGCAGTAGTTCTTTTAGTTACCATTCCAATATGATTATGATTTTAACTGTGCATTTCATAGCCATGCTCTTGAATTCATCATCTCCACACATCATCCAATCTTCTTCATCCTATTCATTCCTCCCATTAAAAGAATTTAGACTAACACCCCTACCATTACCTCAACCCATTTTTCTTTTCCCCCTCACCCTCATTCGTCATACATTTCTCTTCTTACTCCTCCTCTTCTTGAAAGAATTCCACTAAGCATCTAGATCACATGACCAAATGACTCTTTCCCACACCCACACCCACCACCACTTATTCCAACAGTTCCACCACCACGCCAAACCAATTTTTCTTTTAATGTCTCTAATCAATGACTCGTTGAAATTGAAATCCAACACAAAGCAACAAGAAGAATAAAGACAAATATTTTTTTAAAAATATGTCAGCAACAACTGGAGAAAATACTTCACCTCTCTTTATTTTTGTAAAACATTTTGAATCCTTGTTAATTGTCTTCACTTGTCAGGTCAGTGTTTGCAAAAAATCCATGTTAATATTTGGCAAACTGTAAACCACCTATCTTAATGTTGCCACTGCATATCTACCAAGTGTACACCAATGTCTTACACACCTCTTTTTTTTCTGGACATCCATTTTTTAAATGATGTCTTGTAATAAAACTGACCTTTTTTTGTAAGCAATATCAAATCATTATCCTGTCAATATATTTTGATTTGTTTCCAACCAGAAAACTTCAGAAATCTCATTCACTCATTTGAAACAAGGTTCAATTTTGTGAACAGGAAATGAAAACATGAAAAATGGCTGTCAGAAAAAGGAGACAAAAGGTCTGGTAAGGCAGATGAAAAAAAAATGGGACTGGATGATGATAGTTGGGGCAAGAGAGTAGACAAAAAAAATAGAAAGAAATGAAAGGAGACAGAAGGGTTGGGAGAGTAAATGAAAAGAAAATGATGAGACTGGGAAGGAGACAGGACAGAATAGGAGACAAAAAGAAGAGAAAGAAATAGAAAGGATGGAAAGAGATAGCTGAAATGGGACAGTAGACAAGAAGAAAAACAGGAAATGGAAGGAGACAGTTGGGATGGTAGACAAAAAGAAAGAAAGGGGAAGAGGACAGTTGAGAAGTTAAAGGAACAGAAGGAATGGGAAAAGAAAAAAAGAAAAACGAGGACAGAAGGAGAGAGCTAGAATGAGTAAAAAGAAGAGAAAAGTAAGGAGAAAAGTAATAAAGAATATAATTGTAGCTGAATAGAAGGAAAGAAAAAGGGTGACTTGTGATGACTCAGTAGAAAGAAAGAAAGAAGAGAAAGTGATATAAAGGTGGAGTTGGAATAGAAGAAAAGGAGATAGGAAAAGGAAGGAGAATGATGGAAAACAAAAAAAGAAAGACAAGGAAATGAAAAAAAATAAAAAAAATGAGAAAGTAGATTTGGAGGGAAAAATAATGGAAAAAGAAAAATGTATTTGACAGTCTCAGTCTTTTGAACAGGAGTAGAATAGAGGTTCTACTCCTTATTTAAAGTATAGTGTTGAAGTAGACTTTACAGTCTCTGCCTAAACTCTGAAATTTATATTTATTTATTTATTCCTTAAAGCAAGTAAATAGAGAGGTTCACATATCATCCAATTCACACTCCTCCCTGTTTTTTTGAACAGGAGTAGAGGTTTATCCCTTCTTTAGGATTGGGTTTCTACTTCATTCAAAAATCATTTCATTCTCTTTAACTTCCAGTAGCTCCTTGCATCTTAGTGGCATTATCTCCTTGCTTGGGGTGAACTGATTTAAAAAAAAAAAAAGAAACAATAACCAGGAAGTTTGCCTGACATCAATCACACTGGCAATGTTTGGGTTATCATAAAAGGAGGAACAACAACAAGGCTGACAGCATCTCACATGACAGCTGAAGTTCAGAAAAAGGTAAAAAAAAAAAAATAAACATTTTTGCATACTTTAAACTGGGTTTTATTTAATGAAGACTTCAACTGGGAAAGGAAATCAATTAAAACATATTGACAGTACATGTGATTTGATGTTGATTAAAAAAAAAAAAATAAATAAATAAATGAAAAGTCTATTCTATTATAAATGACCCTTCAGCTTAGATTTCTCAAAGACTTCTAAAATACTGATTGCTTGCAGATTTCATGTTGCTTGCAAAAAATTTTGATTTGGTAATGAGACAGCATTTAAATTTAATTTGATGAAGGCTCTTAAAATATTTATAGAATAGTGTTGCTTGTAAACACACATTAGGTTGGATTTTTTTAAGGCTTCTGTTGAGAAATCTCTTAGAACATTGACTGCATGTAATTTGGAGTTGCTTGCAAACAATAAAAGTCAGTTTTATTATGAGACATCCTTGAGGTCAAATTTCTTGAAGGCCTATAAAATGTGTTGATTGCTAAAAATGTCAGTTTTATTAAGACACCATTTAGATTGGATTTTTCACAGGTTTCTATTGGGGAAATCTATTTAAACATATTGATAGTATGTTTATTTGGTGTTGATTGCTAAAAGTCAATCTTATTATGAGAAAGCATTTAGGTTAGATTTTTTTGAAGGCTTTTGTTGGTATAAAGGGGGAGAGCTATGAGAGAAAGATTTATGCTTGCATTTGAATTTCCCCTGTTATGGGCATTATCAAATCCATGATGTAATAACACCATAGTGATATAAAAGTATCCCAGAGAACAAAGTATGTTTGTCATTTTTTCTTCCTTTTCAGCCATTCTATGCCATTTGTGAACTAAGACATACACAAAACTATATATATATATATATATATATATATATATATATATACACACATACACACACACACACACATCTTTACTCATATATTATTCTCCATATGGGACATAAGTACACAGCAAAGCAGAATGTAAGGAACAAAACGGAAAGGTCTTATATATAATATGAAGATATTCCAGTGTCTGGAGAAGCCATGTTTAGGAAGTCGGAGGGGAGGACATATTTCATGAATAGGAAAAAGGTGAGTCTTGGGTTTTCCCAAATTGGCGACTGTTTTATTCTATATCTGGGAAAGATTTATTCCCAAAGGGAAATGGTGCCATGGACTTGTAAACTACTCGGAGGCAAATTTAACCTCAGGCTGGACCCCTTGGCTCAGGCTAAAAGAAAGTAACCTTATGTTGTGGCTGCTGTAAACAAACTGAATGTTGACTGCCGCTATAGTCAGTGTATGGAGTGATGTTATTAAGTCATATGGGTCACATGACAGACACTTATCTCCACCAAAAGGAGATAAATGCCTTCTGTATCCTTACATTGGGAAACCTATTAAAAATATTTACAATATGTTGATTTAGAGTTGATTGGTAAAAATGTCAATTTTATGAGAAAGCATGTAGGTTAGATTTTTTTAAGGCTTTTATTGGGAAATCTATTAAAACATATTGATGGTATGTTGATTTGGTGTTGGTTGCCTAAATAGTCTGTTTTATTATTAGATATTCTTTACAAAGCTATAAAAAGAAATCACTCCTAGAAGAAAGCAGACTTTGCAATAATCTTTAACATGCAAACAAAGTCTGCAAGAAGTATTAGAAAGGAATCAAAATCTAAGAAAAAAGTCTGAAGCTGTAAGTAAAATAACACAAACAATAAAAACAAAAAGAGTTATTTGACCTGGTGGGTGTGGCTGGAGGTGAAGGTGTTAGCCCTGAAGTGAAAAAAGCCAAGTTGTGGTGCTGCTTGTGGATTCTAGGCAGTAGCAGGTTTGTGGGCAGCAAGAGATTATTGTCTGCCCTGCCCTATTAGCCGGGCTTAATGAGAGCAAGATTGAACAAACACAGGGCAGATCCAATACAATGGTTTGCCTGTCAAACTTAATCAATATTAGAACAATCTTTTCCTATGCCAGGCAAAAGCTTCTGGTTGCTCTACATTTTCAATACTGACAAGGGCAAAATCAGCATTATATACTGAATATAACTTTGGTGAAATGTTAAGAGGGTTGAGACAAAACCTTTTCAGCACCCTGCCACATGTCCACATGTAAATAGTTATGTCTTTAGATCTTCTTAAAATATGCCAAGCATATGCATCATTGACAATCAGTTCTGTTATGAAACATTCAGACACTTAAAATTTTTTAATTAAAACAATCTGATGTTTGGATCACTGGGAAATCTTTAGTTACAGGTCAGCTTTATAAAAAATATAGGTTATCTCCCCTTGGTTTATAAGACCTGCTGATAGAAGATGGGTTTGTTTATCTGATAATAATGGGTAAGACCCAAAATTAGGTGCCAAGTTGAATTTAGGCACCAAAGCAGAGAGGCCCTGAAAACCACAAACAAGACTGGCATGTTTCAGCCTACTCCAAGAACAGGTGATGCTGGCCCCAAGCAAACTTGAATAATAATGCAAAGAGAAGCAGTTATCAGATGAAGACTATGAGCAGCATCAGATAAGTGTTTCAATTTAGATTTTGTCCCTGATATCAGGACTTTAACTGCTAAAGGAATATGTTTTTAGCAATTCTCAGTTCTCATTGTATAATGTATTTCTTATATAAGGTATGCCTTTTAAACTGTTCAGTTGTCTTGTCTTTGTTCATTAACCAATTTGAGGAGTTATTAAAAACACATAAATTTTGTGTTTTTGGGATCTTGTTAAATTTCCCACAGCTTGCCAAGATATGTGACTCTTTCAATAGGATATTGACCATTTTGTATCAACTCTCCAATTGGTGAAAATACATTAAACCACCCACAAATCCATATGAAAAGGGAAAATTTAGAAATAATACGAGATCATTGGTGGAACATGTTGAGTTTAAAATTATTACAAATTATCTTAGGTTTATCCATTTCATTTGATTTTACAACCAACTTGACTGAATCACATGCATATACTGTGTGCAGACAGCATTAAAGGACTGACTCTTTGCTCATTCATCATTTTGTCTTTTGACACTCTAACTAAAAGACAAAAGGCCAGAAATGTGTCTACAATCGAATACCCTTTACTTAGCATGCAAATATACTGCTAGTAAATACTTAGTATACTTTCACATTAGTTTAAAATTTAAAACTTTCTAAATAATTTCAAACTTTTTGAACAAGGATTTAAAACTTGAAGGAATAATTTGAATTGTGAGGTAGGCCCCGATTTACAGTCACTAATGAAAATATATATATATATATATATATGAGAAGACTCACTGTTCAATTTGGTAAAAAAATAGGGCATAATAAATGACCCTCCCCAAATCAGACAAATAACCTTAAAGGTGATTATGCCTCCATAATCATCGGTTAGCATTTATGAAATGATGCCAAAGCTGAGCAATAAAAAGTTTAGAATAGCTTAATTGATTATTTGAACCGAGTTTTTAAAATCATGATGATTTGTTTATTTTTACTTTGTTCAAAATTTTGTCCTTTTGACATTGCCTGACTAAATGACAAATTAACAATGACAGAAAATCTGCCAAGAATGTTGAAATGTTGTAAGAACCTGAACATAAATTTACTGTGGCTGATTTAGATGAAGATGTGTAGAAAATGCTTTAATCACTTAGTGAATTATTTTCTCTTTTAGAGTAGCTTTGTTTTATGTCAAAATTATGATCAGTTTTGTTACAAAATGCATTGGTTGTTCACTGTGTGTTGTTTATTAAAATTTTTTTTTTTTTTGTGGTTATATAATCTTTTTATTTAAACTTCTTGAGGTTTCCCCTATATATTCTTCATAAATATTCCATGTTGTGATAACAGAAAATCTAAAAAGAAAGATGGTGGAAACAAAAAGAATATACATGAATTTGGCTACATTGAAAAAAAAATGTCAGTGAGAAAATAATTAATGTAACTGATCCTGGCCAGGCATCTCAACTTCAGAGATCCTTCTTTGGCATTTCTGCTGTAGCTCTCGGGATTCTTGATAATATCCAGACTAGACATGGCAGCTGTATTCAATGCACAGACGATTGATAGATTTATGAATGTGCAAGATGGATTCTGATAAGGAAAATTTTCTAGCATGACACAGTGACCCAACTTTCCTTACAGTAGATGCAGCTACTGATTAAATATAGTCACTCCACTTTGAGTCTGTATAACGAAGAAAACGGCAACTTACCTCGTCAAACCAAGTGACAGTGTGTCATATGTATCCTGCTGAAGATGGAATATTTAAAATAAAAATCAAGTCTGTTGCAGGAGTCGCTATATAAGTATTTTGATATGCAAAAATTGAGCGTCCTCTCCCAGCTGTCGATGAATGGAAAAAATGCTTGACTGATAAAAGGAGTTGGTGTTCTGGAATCATGGACAAAATTTGGGTATTTTGGCTACTGCGTTTGTTGGAGAGTGAGTTATTTTTCTGACTGGTTGTGTGCATTGTGATTTGTGAGATAGTACCTGCAAATCAAGTTTTCAGCATTTCTTTCTGCCCTCGATGTTCAAGTCTGAGCTTAGGAAATATTTGTCACAGATTACTTCCACAATGCAGAGAATAAATCACTTTGCAATCCCAGATTGCTTACAGTCTGTGGAAAACATGAGGCTGTCGGAGTTAACTCCTCCTTTAGTTTGTTAACCCTTTCACCAGGGGTCTCTCTTCCCTGGCTATAAATAGTCGCTGACCCTTCACTCTCTCTCTTTTTCCTCAGGCTTTCAGCCTTACCATCTCACAGATGTGAACGCTCACGGACACAGCATTTCCCAAATGCTGGGAACACACTAAGCACAATACACATACGTACGAACACACACACATATATATAATATTCACTCACACACTCTGTCTTTTGTAACTGTTCCATGTAACTTGTTATTAATATATATATTTGTATACATATATTTATCGGTCTTGTGTTTGCTTTTCTTTGCCTTCTTTGGACTTAATTAAAGTCCAACTTTCTCATGTAGTTGGACCGGCTAGCAGGAAAATCTTCACCCACACGTGTACTCATCTACTTCTATCAACAACAACAACACAGCCACAGTCTGCTACAAGGCTAAGAAGGCATAGCGTGTTAATCTCCCGGATA